TTGTCCCTGTGGGCTTTGCCTGGGAATGTTTCCAAAGAAGCCCTAATCCCCTGCCCTGCCTGGCCTCAGAGTCCCCATCACCTACAGAAGCATGGGAGGGCTGTGACCTCACTGGCCCTGTCTGTGCTTTATCCCTGATCCCCTCAGCTGGCTAACCTTCTGCTCTTCCATCCACACTCAAGGGTCACCTTCTCCAGGAAGCCTTCCCCTACTTCCAGCAATTATGTGTCCCATGGAAAGTTTCTACTTTCAGTTTACTCTTTGGTTCACCTCCAGATGGGAAGCCCCTTCCACGCTGTTGTTGCCCCAGGGCTCAGCCCCAAACAGGGCTCTGGGAGTGAGTTTAATACTTGCTTATGGAATAAATGTCCCGTGCTACCTCCTGCAGGAGGCCCTTCCTCACTCCCCTTCCAGCCTGTCTGGCTGCTGCCTCAGCACCTTATAACACTTCATGCCTCTCTCAGGGTCTTTTTCCCACTTCACCTCCTGAGGTAGCTGTGTGCACAGCCGTCTGTGTGCAGCAACTCTCTGAGGCAGGTATTTTCACTCCTATTTTACAGCTGAGGGGAACTGTGGGTCAGACAGGTTGAGGAACTTGCCTAAGGTCACACAGTTACAGAGTGGCAGAGCCAGGAGGCCACGTGGGTCCGTTTAGATCTAAAGCCCCTGCACTTCCCATGGCCCTACTCAGGGGTGCCCGTATCTCCTATGATAACTGCACAGTGCCTGGTGCGCGCTAGGCCTGGGAAAAGGTCCACAAACTGGAATGAAGTTTCGTTCTCAGGCAGGATCCAGAATGGGAGGGAGAATGCAGCTTTAGGATGTTAGCTGCTACCTTCTTCCCAGCAGAGGGACTCTCTCTCAGGCCGGGTAGGGGAATGTGAACAGGGGCAGCAATGGACAGGATGGGGATCAGACCTTGAGGGGCTGTAAAGACTGAGGTGTCAGGAAGCAGACATGCCTGGGGCTGTGCAGGGAGACAGCCTGGTGCTAGGGGATCAAACTAGGCCCCTGAAGGAGAAGCAGAGGCAGGCTGATGGGGCCTTGGGGTGTCATGGGTAGGTGTGCTCCTCCAAACAGTGCCCCTGCCCTGCCCCTCTGCCCCCTCTCCTGCTTGCTTCCCCTCCTCTTCCCTCCTCTTCTCCTGACTTGTTCCTTTGCTGGAGTTAATCCTCTGGTTCTACTTCCTCTGCTCCAGTCTTATTATCAATGGGCGTCATTGCCCATCATCACCCCAAGTCAAAACTCCAGATCCAAATTGGGATATGATGCTGGCACTGGAAAGAAGTCCTTCCTTGATTTCACTTTGTCTTCCCACTGTTTTGTTGCAAAGACCTGATAATAGAGAAGGCCTACTGAGAGAGAGACTGACCCACAGTCAAACACAGGGAATTGAGGGGAACTGGCCCAATGATCTCTCCCTTAATCCAACAGGTTCATATTCCTGCCCTTCTAAGGATCAGCTCTGTGTCCTGTGAGGTGCCTGGGGACAGGGAAGGGAGTGAGGGAGAAGACATTCTTTCCATCACAGTGAAGCCACTTGGAGAAATGTTTAGGTAACAGCGAGATTCGGCGGCTCCCTCCTTCCCCACTTAGGAGGGGCTCTGCCCCCTCATCCATGGGCTTGGCGTTACCTACCCACACCCACAAATGTGAGAGCTTCCCTGGACATCAGAGGCACAGGACGTTAGGACAAAGTGCACCAACTGTGCCTTGGGTCTGATCACTGCTTCCTTTGTCCAGGGCCACTCCTGGATCCTGGCCACCTTTCAGGCTCATCTTTGGCACCCCCCACCCCCTGGACACCTTCCCCTTCTTCTTTGGCTGCTTCTGAACTGCTTCAGAGTCACAGGCCAAGGCTGCCGCAGCCCTGAGGTGGGAACCTCTGAGTAGGGCTGTGGTTGTCCCTCAGGGGACCCAGCATGACCTCTGTCTGGACCACTCTCTGCTCCATGCCCCCCTCCCCCAAGTTAATGGGTGGCCTTGGGTCCCTCTGTGTCCTTGAGATTCTCTGAGCCCTGCTGCTCCCTGTGGTGATCCATGGAGGGAAGATAATGGAATCAAGTTTGTTAGAGACGATTAAGCCTGTGGGAAGAGAGGATGCTACAGAGACATGATGTGGTATTATGATTGTTGAGATGTGTTACTAGTTCTGTGTGTTTCTTGTTCCCTTTTTTGAAGATCCAGGTGTGTTGTGCTCTCAATTCAATGATAATGTGGACACTGGCTGGATCCCTGATAGTGTATTGTGAAAGCTGGTGACACCACATTGGGTGATGTGATCCAGAGTCAACCCCTCCTCTGCATCACCACCAGGCTGTGTCTCTGAAATGAAGGGTGGGAACAGAGGGTGCTCAGAAATCCCTCAGACCAGGCTGCAATTCTGCTCCCTCATTCCCCTGGTTCCCTAGGCTGAGCCCACATTTGAGGGAGCCTCAGATGGTTATAACACACCACGGTGGGAATTTGGCTCAGGTGGGAGACAGCCCTGGGAGAGAGCCATCCAGAGACAATTGATGGCCACTCCCCTTTGGAACCTCTCCAGCCTCCTCCCAGCTTCAGGGTCTTTTGCTATGATCTCCTCTTCAGGCCTCTCAGGGGGCTGAGGAAGGTTGGGGTGAGCAGGGAGGAAGAGGAGGGGCTGGAGTGAGCTCCTGGAGGTACCGCTGGGAGTCTCTGACCTGGGTTCTGCCCACCCCAGGGTAGGGCTGAAGGAGAGGATCTCTGTCAAAGGGCCCACATCTTGTGCTCTGGGGCTGCTAGAGGTGGACCAGGTTGGGCAAGTTGCAAGTTTAGTGGCTTCCCTTCCATACCCTCCATAACAGCTTGGAGCATGGAGTCTAGGTGAGGACGACTGTCTGGGAGGGGGCCCTGAACCAGCAAATAAGCATTTACTAACTGTAAAAAGACCTTGTCCCTGATGCTGGTGGAGGCAGGACTGGAGGCATGATGGAATGGGTAGGGTGGGGTGGTGGGGCAGCCCGCTGCTCTTCAGGAGCCTCTGGACACCATTCCTGTGGAAGTGGAGTACTAGATGGTGAGCCTACCATCCCCTCCAGACCACGGCACCATGTGCTGAGGCAGGGGGCTGGCTGAGGAACTTCCTCAGGTCATTTCAGTCAACTTGGGTGAAGTTGCTGTGTTCATTCTCAACCCAGCTCCCTTTCTTGTTCCAGGCCTTCAGACAGTCTACACCAGCCCCAGGCCGGCCCTGGCCTTATGTAAGTGAATAATGAGACTGGTTGGTCCTTCTCTTCCACAGGTATCAGGGCCCCCATTTATTCCCTGGGAAAGCCTGGGAGCTGATGGGTCAAAGCCCAACCAGAAATTTTTCCAGGCTGGTTCCTATATGCAAAGTCGGGGTAGGGGGTCTTGGGGAGCACTTAGGGAAGACAAGGGGTGCTGGGGAAGAAGGGGTCTTTGAAGGAAGGGAGGGGACTGAGGTAAAGAGAGAGGATAGGCTATCAGCTGGGAGAAGTAGGCAAGGGATCCTTAGAGACTGAAGGTGCAGAGAAGAACCCCAATTCTGTTCAGAAGATGAGCTGTGAGCCTGGGCTGTTGCTGATAGAAGCCTTGGCCCCCAGCCTGGTGGGAGCTCTGGGCAGCTGGCCTACAGACGTTCCTTAGTGCTGGTGAGTAGGTTTGAATCATCGCTCAGGCCCTGGCCTCCACCCGCCCCCTCCAGCCCCCTGGCCTCAGTTCCCTGGCAACATCTGGGGGTGGGGGTTGCGGTGTAGGGGAGAAGCAGGAACAAGGGCTCCTGTCTGCCCAGCTGCCTCTCCCTCAGGGCTCTGCCAGACTTCACAGTGCATACGTGGGCTCTAACAGGTCCTCTTCCCTCTAGGCCACTGACTAACCCCAGAACCACACGGCTTCCCGTTCTCAGCCCCACAAACTCAGTGCCAAATATTTCTCCCCAGGGAAGTCTTCCTGGAGACTTCCCAAAGGACCCCAGTCACCCCAGCCTCCAGGCTGCAGCTCACTCTGATGTCAGCAGGCCAGATGAGAATTCTAGATGCGCACATTGTCCAGATGGATGTATTGTGCCCCTGTGCCAGCACCGGGCTCTCTGCACATCGGTCCATTTGCATCTCAAACATACCACTGTTAGGGAAGTCAGAAGTGAGGGGATCGGGGGTGGTCTCCATCCTGTCCGAGGCCCATTTCCTCTTGCTCCTAACTGGGGTGTGCAGATGGTAGTCACTAGGGGGCGCTCGGCCACCACAGGGAAGCTGGGTGAACTTGGAAGAGCGGCGTCTGCGTGAGAGTGAGGACGCGAGTGTCAGTGTGGGTGTGTGTGTGGTGGTGGTGGTGGTGGTGGTGGTGCTGAGAGTGTTGGACAGAGGAGAAGGCCAGGGGTCACCCCAGGATTTCACCAGATCTGTATGTCCGACTCCCCGCCCCCTCCAATATTCCCAGCAAGGAGGGTATAGCTCTCGAGCCTCGTCCGCACATAACCTTACTTTCCCGTTCCCTTCCCCCGTACCGAGCGGGCGTCAGTGTCACTAGGCTAAGGGGGGCGGATGGGTAATTTCAGGCTGTGAACCCAGGTGAGGGGTCGAAATGCCCTTCACTGGGCTGGGTTGAGGGGGTCCCAGGCTCCGTTCGCTGTCCCCACGAGAAGGCAGCCCGAGGGGCCCGAGCCCCGCGCGGAGGGGCTGAGTCGGGCCGGTCCCGCCCCCCGGGGCGTGTCAGCGGTCTGGGAGGGGCAGAGCCAGGCCTTTTTTCCAGTCGGCTGGTTGCGGTGAAGAGCGCAGAAGCTTGGGGCAGCCGGGCTGCGAGGAGGCCGCGGCGCGGGGGGCGAGAGGAGCCAGCGGCGCGGGGGGCGAGAGGAGCCAGCGGCAGTGGCGCTCGGTTGGGAGACGCTGCGGCGAGGCGGACGAACCGGCGGGGTCGCCAGCCAGGGGTCTCCGCACTGGAATTTGATACTCATTTATCCAGGGTTTACCCTCCTCCTATCTTCTTAAACATTTTAAAAAACAATATTCTTTCCCGTTTAATTTATTTTTGCTTCCCATTCCCCGCTTAAATCGGACCGACCGTTTGGGGAGACTGCTCCTTTACTCCTCCAAATCACTTCGGATTTTGGAAACCAGCAGAAAGAAGAAAGAGGTAGCAAGAGCTCCAGAGAGAAGTCGAGGAAGAGAGACCGGGTCAGAGAGCGCGCGCGGGCGAGCGAGCAACGGGAGGGACAGGGCAAAGCGAGTGACCTGCTTTTGGGGGTGACCGCCAGAGCGCGGCGTGAGCCCTCCCTCTCGGGATCCCGCAGCAGACCAGCAGCGCCGACGGACAGACACACAGACACCGCCCCCCGCCCCAGCGCCCACCTCCTCCCGGACCGGCAGCCGACGGTGGACGCGGCCGCACGTCGCGGGCAGGAGCCGCCGCCCGCACCCGGAGGCGGGGTGGAGGGGGTCGGGGCTCGCGGCTTTGCACTGAAACTTTTCGTCCAACTTCTGGGCTGTTCCCGCTCCGGAGGAGCCGTGGTCTGCGCCGGAGCGGCGGAGCCGAGCGGAACCGGGAGAAGTGTTCGCTCGGGCCGGGAGGAGCCGCAGTCGGAGGAGGGGGAGGAGGAAGAGGAGAAGGAAGAGGAGAGGGGGCCGCGGTGGCGACTCGGCGCTCGGGAGCCGGGCTCATGGACGGCTGAAGCGGCTGTGTGCGCAGACAGTGCTCCCGTCGCGCGCGCGCCCCAGGCCCGGGCCTCTGCCCCGGGAGGAAGCGGAGCCCGCCTAGGCGCCGAGGAGAGCGAGCCGCCCCGCAGCCCGAGCCGCGCCGGCCCCGGCCGGGCCTCCGAAACCATGAACTTTCTGCTCTCTTGGGTGCACTGGAGCCTCGCCTTGCTGCTCTACCTCCACCATGCCAAGGTAGGCGGCCGTGCCCACCCGCCGTCGCGGGCCGCTGCGGGCGCCTCTCCCGGTCTGGGGACGTGCGTGCGAGCGCGCGCGTGGGGGCTCCGTGCCCCACGCGGGTCCTTGGGCACCGGGCGCGCGGCTTCCCCCAGGCCTCGGACGAGTAGGGGGAGGGGGCGAGCGCTGGGTGGGAGGGCACCGGGATAGAGTCTGACCGCCCACGCGGGCTCTGCCCACCCACCAGAGTCGCCGCACGTACGATCTGGGCCGACCAGCGGAGGGCGGGAGCCGGAGGAGGAGGCCGAGGGGGCTGGGCTTGCGCTGCCGCCGGCGGCTGAAGTTTGCTCCCAGCCGCCGGTCCCCGGCGAACTGGAGGTCCGGGCAGCGGGGGCGGGAGCCGGATCCCGGCGGGCAGGGGGTGCTCGGACCTTGGACCCAGGGAGGGCCGAGAGACGGAGGGGGCAGGCCGCCGGCAAGGGAGGGGGCTTGCTGTCACTGCCGTTCGATTTCTTCGGCTCTCGCCGCGAGTTTGAGAAAAGTTTTGGGGTGGATTGCTCAGGAGACCCCCGTCTCTGCCGGGCCACCTGCGCAGCGCCATCCCTGCCCGTCCCCGCTCGCGTCCCGCTCGGTGCCCGCCCTCCCCCGCCCGGCCGGGCGCGCGCGGCGCGGAGCCGATTACATCAGCCCGGGCCTGGCCGGCCGCGTGTTCCCGGAGCCGCGGCGGCTCGAGCGGGGAGCCCCGGGCGGCGAGCGGCGCCCCTCCCCCCGTCGGCCCTCTGCGGGAAGGTGACCTCTCGAGGCAGCCGGACCCGGAGGACCCGAAGAGCCCACCTCTACCCTTCCACCGGCCCCAGACCTCAACCCCCTCCTGTGCTGGGACGAATTTCCTGACGCCCCTTCCCCATTTCCTTTCTAACGCGGAGAGAAGCCCCTGACACCCCCACTATTTTTTGCTCCCTTCTCTTGGGAAGACTCATATAACCCCTCTCCAGCCCCGGAGTCCAAGACAAGGATGGCCACTGTCAGAGGTCAGGTGCCGGAGCCCACCCGGCTGCTTGCAGAGACAACCTAAAGTCCCAACTTGGTGACAGTCAGCTTCCCTCCCCTCCCCCACACTTCCGAGTGAGCAGCGCTTTAGCTTTAATGGGGATGGGCTAAGGGAGGGTTTACAGAGCGTCTTCACCCCACTTTACACTTTCTGGAAAAAGGTTTGAGATTTGCTGTGACATGGGCAGTGTGGGACTAGCCCTCCCCACACTTTCGGAAGGAGCGCGTGCCGGCCTTGCGAACACACTGTGTTGCAGCAGGAGCAGGTGGTTTTGGGAACTACAAACTTGCCCACCCAACTTGCTTCTCAAAGCCATCTAAAGGGCCCTTTTCTGCTCTTCTCTGACACCTTCCCTCAGCTACAGAGTCCCCTTGGAGAGATGCAGAGGGAAGGAAATGGGCTGGGGTCCCTGCTGCCACCCAGAGTTCCTCAGACCCTGGCACAAAGGCCTTGGCTCCAGGCCTCTAAGTGGGGGGAGGGGGAGGAGTGGCTGCCTGGCCACATTGTGACCTTCAGAGGCCCCCAGAGAAGGGCACCTGGCCCCTCCCCGTCCAGAACTGCCCCTCCTGGCCTTGGAGGGTGTATGAAGTTTCTCTCCCCTTTCCTCATTGGGGCCCAGGGGGCATGGAGGGCATAGGGAGAAGGTTGGCAGAGGGAAGCCAGGGGCTGTCATGGAGATAGGTGAGGGGCTGAGGTGGAGGCTCCAGGGGTCCCTGCCGGAGCACAGCAGGAGGCTATCCAGCTGGGATTCTGGAAACTGTAATCTGACTCTGACCCTGGGGGCAAGGCTGGGGAATCTGGGGTGCACTGAGGGTATATGGGAAAGAGTTTGTGAGACACCCTCTCAGCAGGGGCAGTGTGCAGGGGCAGGGCTCGAGTCCGGCTCTGCTGTTCAGGATCTGCCCCAGAAATGGGGAAGGTTGGGAGGGTGGTTGATGAGACCTGGACACCCTCTGGAAGGGCTAGGAGAAGCCTTTGCCTGCCCGGTACTGTCAGGTCTGCACCCTTGGGCTTGTTGACCTTCACAGCTTCTGGGGAGGGGAGGAATAATCTGTGGGGGTGGGGAGGGATGGGGGAGACTGCAAGCCTAGGTTGTACAGGGGGCCCCCTAGGGGCTGGGCAGTGCTAAGGCGTAAAAGCCTTACCAGGTTGCTTTTGAGGAAAATGCCCAGCAGGTGGAAGGGACTTGGAGCCCCCCTCAGACTGGGAGGGAGAAGAAATCAGGGAAGGAGATGGAGTGCCAGGCTTGGGCCTTTGGAGATACGTTTTTTGGAGATTTGTGCTTGGGGAGAAATGGGGCCCTTCCCTCCCCCAGGGTTTCCTTCCAGATATTACCCTCCAGGCAACATGTAGGTTTGCTGAAAAATCCTGAGCATAGAAGAGTTTGGGTGGGGGAGGGTAGTTGGTGCCCTTTGTTCCTCTCTGCCCCCCTCCCTCCCAAGCACCACTGCCCCCCTCCCTCCCCAGCACCAGCTCACCCTGGTATTTGTCATGTCAGCAGGAGAAGGTCACCATGTTGTTTTCACACCCTTAGTCCGTTCTTCCTGCCTCACTCCAAATTTGTTCTCCTATTTGCCCTCATTACTTACCATGGCTTTGGAGCAGGGTGTCTGGGGGCTGAGAACATTCTCTTCTCGTAGCTCAGCAAAGGGCTGGAGAGAGAAAGGGAAATGTGGGAAGGGGCGGGGGCCTGGACAGCCCAGCATTCTAGTGCTTTCCTCCTGTATTTGGAACCTCCCACCCATCAATATCTGTCCGGTCTTTATCTTCCTTGGCTTCCTTGGAGCAGTGCAGGGGTGGTGGGTGTGCTCTATGCTATGCAGAGCCCCAGGGGTGCCCTGTTCCACTCTGAAGCCTTGGAGACACCAGTGCTGCGGGCTGTGGGCTGTGGGCTGTGGGCTGGGAGGACAGTGCAGGCTGGGCCTTTGCACCCCTATCCCCTCCCATGCTCATGCCTCATTCTTTGTTTTGTCCTCAGTGGTCCCAGGCTGCACCCATGGCAGAAGGAGAGCACAAACCCCATGAAGGTGAGTCCCCAAGTCTATGGATGGGGTCCCTGTCCCCCCAGGGGATGGATGGGGAAGCCTGCCTCTTTTTCTCATGTCTATGGGGGATGGGGAGGAAGGGGTGCAGGAATATGGAGATCAAGAGAGGACAGATGAGTACCTGGAGATTAACCCTTCTGTTCTGGAGGACTCTCTCTTTCTTACTCAGTCCTCTGTTGGAAGTAGGCTTGTGGCTTTGTTCTTCTACTCTTTCCAGTAAAATGTTGTTAGGCCCATGAACACAGACCAGGAAGACAGTATTCAAGAATCGCAGATGTCAAGGGAGGTGTTGTTTGTATCCCCTGCTTCCAGGGGAGGATGTCATTTCCAACTGAGCCATGTCCTACCTGTGGGGGTCTGTTGGGAGGCAGGGGACACTTGCTGTGACCCTTGCCGTCCAGAGAGCTGACGGTGCATGAGCTGGAGGTGCAGAGGGCCCGGTGTTATAGGACCTCCTGCCTCTGTTTGCATTCCTTTCGGGGTGGAGAGAGAAGCCCTACAGCATCCCTCTGCCCTCTGGGTGGAGTAGGTTTGGTGCTAGAGAACTTCCCTCCTGGGCCAGCAGAGGGCTTGGCGGTAGCTCCCAGGTGCCCCGCCCCCTACCCTAGCCTGGTCGGCCTTTCTTTTGTTCCGCCTTGGTTTGGAGCAAGGCTCCTCCCATTTTTCTGGGGACTCCCTGGCTTTCCCTGTCACTGAAAGTGGCTTCTGCTTCAGCCTAGGGGAGCCGTGCCTGATGCTCCTGCCCAGCTCCCCACGTCTGAGGAGGGAAGGTCCGGAGGTTTTCCTCCAGGCGAGTTTCTCTGACTCATCCACTATGGCCTGGGGTAGTGGCCAGGGGCAGTATCTGCACTCCTGGGTTGGTGTGATGCCCAGCCCGTTCCACCTCCTTCTCCACCTAGGAGCCCTTTCCCTGACTGAAGGCCTGTGCCACTGGCAGGTGCCCTGCTCCCCATGTGTACCTACCCTCCTCAGCCTCCCAGTGGTATCTGTGGTCTGGAAAAAGCAAGACAAATGGTCTTTGTTTGCTAGAGAAAAGGTTGTCTTTGAGAAATAAGGAAAATCAGGAAAGCCTGAGTTTGTATGTGTGTATATATATGTATGTGGAAAAGCAGGACCACCTTCCTTGGTGGGAGTGGCAAGGGGGTGACCAGTGCAGGTGAAGTTGTCCCCTCCACCTCCCGCGGGCCTTGGGGATCCTAGGGAGCTTTGCCATGCAGTTCCCAACCTGGGTCTTTTTATCCTCAGCTACCAATACCATGGCTCAGGCCAGACCTTTCGGTTATCCTGTCCTGGGTGGGGCATTGGGGGCCCAAAGCCAGGGCTGCCTCTGTCCCCAGGAATGACGAAATGTCAGGCCAAGAATTCTTGATTAGTCATCTTCTTCAATGTAGACTTGGCTTTGAAAAGAACTTCTTCAGATCCCTGCTGTCCTTTAAACTCTTTTTGGCGACACTTTACCTTAATCCTTTGGCAGGTGGAGGAGGAGTCTATGCCCTTTGTCTGGATGGGGGATGTAGAGATCTCAGGCAAGGCCTGGGACGTGCTTGGGAGTCTTCCTTCTGTTTTCACACCTGTGGCCTTCCCCCTCTTCCCCTCAGTACCCCAAATTCTCCTCAACCCACTTGTTGTGCATATACCCCTGGGGTTCCTCTCCCTCTAGCCCTGCGGAGGGAGGAGTGACTGCAGGCTCAGCCGTGGCCTGTGGGGCAGCACAGGCCAGGGGTATGCACTTCACATGCCTTGGTGAGGCTCCAAACCTTGAGTTACCTGTGCTGAGAAAAGGGCCTGTGTTTTTGGGTCTGCAAAGGGAAGACAGCCCCACCTTGTAGCTTCTGTTTCAGGGCCTTTGATGATCAGCTCAGCCCACTTCCACAGATGTGCAGAGTCTGAAGCCCAGGGAGGGAGGGAGGGACTGGCCCAAGGTCACACCAAGTAACGGGCCCGGGCCTCCTGAGCTGACTGCTGCTTTTCCTTCCCTGTCCAGGGAAAGTCATTTCAGAGACAGGTCTGCTATGTGGGGGTGGGGCTGGGGGTGTGATGGGGAGTGGCAGGCTGGGCCACAGGTTGAAGTAGTCATTCCTGGGCCCTGAATTTATTTATTCTCAAGGGCCCCATTCCTGTGGCCCAGAATTACCCCCTCATGCTCTGTAACCAGCCTGGGAAGCTATCTTTTCCCTGGTCTCCCTCCAGATCAGCTTCTAGAAATGCTCCATGGCTGTGGTGGCAGCACTGTTTTCTCCATGATGCAAGCAGTTTGCCTTCTTGGGTGGGGTTATCGGTGGCTGGCAGGGCCCTCACAGCGTGCCCACCCGCTGCCACCTGCTGATTCCAGGCCGGCCCAGCCCCTGTGCCAATGGTCACCGCCTCTTCAGCCCATGTTTGCAGAGGGGGACTGGCAGGTGGCAAGGGGCTCTCTGATGCTTTCCCTGTTTTCACATGATATTGGCTTGGGAAAGTTTTGATGTTACATCTGATTTTAACTCTCACTCACTGCAAGTGTGCCCTTGGGGCAAATTACTCAGCTTCTGTGAGCTTCCAGTTTCCCATTTATAAAATGGAGGTCCTACTAGAACCTCATATTACTGTGAGGGAATAATTGTTTGAAATGACAACTGTGGACCACTGTACACTGTGCCCAGCATATACTAAGTGCTCATTAAGCAGTCATTGGTATGCTTGATGGTATGGCAGAGGTTGTAGGGAAATGGGGAGTGGGTCTGCCAAGCTGGCTGTTCCTCCTTTCCTGGGAAGCTACAGCACCCCCAACAGATAAACTCACTTTCAAATTGTCTTCTAGCATCAAGGTTCGCCCAGGAATTGGCTTGGCTGTCACACGGAGGCAGGGGGGTAAGATGTGGCAGGCTACTTCCCTCAGAACCTGACAGCATCATGAGATCTTTGGAATAAAAACAGGTCTTTGCCAGTGTTGATGGTGGAAAGCTTAGGGAAGGACTTCAGCCACAGCCAGAAGGTCTAGCGGTACCTCTCACAGTAACCCTGAGGACTGGATTCCCAAAGCTAGGCAGAGATAGGGGCTGGCCGTCTCTGGTGTGACCTGCCAGGCTCATGTGTCCCTCCCTCCCATGCAGTGGTGAAGTTCATGGACGTTTATCAGCGTAGCTATTGCCGTCCAATTGAGACCCTGGTGGACATCTTCCAGGAGTACCCGGATGAGATCGAGTACATCTTCAAGCCGTCCTGTGTGCCCCTGCTGCGGTGTGGGGGCTGCTGCAATGATGAGGGCCTGGAGTGTGTGCCCACTGAGGAGTTCAACATCACCATGCAGGTGGGCACCTGGGGGAGTGGGGGCCAGGGTCCTTAGACTTGGGAACAGGTGAGCTCTGGCCCTTTCCTGGGCGGCTCTTGAGAGGGGCCAGGTTTACCTTGCTTGTCCAGCTTCTGCCCCTGAGTCAGTTTGGGGCTGGGAGTGGGGGTGTATTGCCCTCTTTGGAGGAAAAGAGCCTCTATTTCCTGGTCCAGGTTCCCAGCGAGCCCTGACCACCTCTTCCTCCTCCCTGGCCTGTGCATCTGGGCTCAGAAGGGGCTGACACCTGTGACAGGGACACATCTCTTCCTTTCCTGGGGGAGAAGGAGGGCCCGCCCTCCTTGGGGGCTGTTTGAGAAGCTGCATGAGCTTGGTCTGTGGAGGGTTTAAAAAGCTAGTAGTTTGGTGCCTGCCTCGTGACAGGACGCATCTCAGCCTGGATAGGGAGGGAGGGAGCACTGAGATCCTGGGGTGGGGGCAGCTCCTGGGGGTCGGGTGAGGCCTGGAGGGCAGGGATGGGGAGTGGTGAGACACCAGGACCTGAATTCCCAGCCTGGCCAACCCTTATAGCCATGTCTGTCCTCGAGAGGAACGGGGGCTCCTGGAGTTCAGCAGGGTTGGGGGAGTTGGGGTGGGCCCGAGGCTCTTTCTGGTAGAGCCCCTGGTCCTCCCTACCTCCATGACTCATCCCTGCTCTGTAGAACCCTTGGGTGCTAAGTGGCAGGAGCCACAGGGGTGTCCCATTCTGGGTATGGCTGGCTGGGTCACTAACCTCTGTGATCTGCTTCCTTTCCCTCCAGATCATGCGGATCAAACCTCACCAAGCCCAGCACATAGGAGAGATGAGCTTCCTACAGCACAACAAATGTGAATGCAGGTGAGGATGGAGTCCCGGATTCATCCTTTCAGCAAACGACCTCAGGGTGCCTGCTCTGCCAGTGTTAAGCACGATCCACTTGTCAGCCCATTACCACCTTTCAACTGTGTAACCTTGGGCATTTCAGTTTATTTCCATGTTTCCACATCTGTAAAATGGGTACAACAATAGTATGTACCTCATAGCCTTGTTAAGGGTTAAGTGAGTTATATGTAAAGAGATTAAACTGTATTGTATCATAAATACCATGTTACATTCTTCTTGTTGTTACAGTTAATCGTTGCCATCACCATCTGAACCCCTCTCTGTTTTGTTCTTTTCTCTTTCTCTACCCACTGCAGACCAAAGAAAGATAGAGCAAGGCAAGAAAAGTAAGTGGCCATGACTTCGGCTCTTCTCCCTCTTCTGTGGGTTGCCATGGTTTGGGGCTCTCGGCTTCCTCTGTCAGGGGGTCTGACGGCTTCACGGGGGTCAGGGCTCGCCTCATGGGGACGTTGGTGGCAATACTGGGATGGAGAAAATTCCCAGATTATCGCTCTAGAATCAATGACAAAACCCAGCCTGGAGCTTCCTTTGGAAGAGATGTTGCATTCCAGATCTCCCGGTCATTCGTGGCCAGTGCTTGCAGTTCCTGTGTGTTGGGGGGCAGTGAGGACTCCCGCTCCCTGGCTTGCTCAAGTCTCCCATTTCCCACAGCACTGGGAGGGAATGGGTGGCAGAGAGGCCAATTTTTGTGTCAGAGGAAATGGCCTCTTCTGGTGGCTGCTGTGGTGGTGCAATTGGACTGGAGCCGGCTGGTGCGTTTTCGTGGCGCCTGCCCCCCCTTGTGGGAATGAGGCTGGCCAGAGATGCCTAGGCCTCTTGGCCAGGGAGAAAGAGTTGAATGTTGGTCACTTTCTGAGGCTTTCAGTTGCTCAGTGTGGAGGTTTGGGTCAGGAGGGACTGTCGGGGGCAAGGTGTGGGGGCAGTGAGCCTCTAAGATCGGGTGCATAGCTAGCATGGGGATAAGCCTGCAGGGAAAGAGACTGAGAGAGAGCCCCTGTGCCCTTCCTATCCCCTCCCCCCACCTGTCTGCCCCCAACACCCTGGGGTCACTGACGCCCCTACACCTTGACTCCTTGCCTCTTCCCTAAGTCGCCAACTTCCAGGATTACTGTGGCTACCAGGGCTATGATCTGGGAGAGTAGGCTCAGAGGGAGGGGGAGAGGGAGAGAGGGGAGTAGATAGGGGGAGGGAGAGAGGAGAGAGAGGTGTGTGTGCGAGTGTGCGGATACCTTCCTGCTTCCAGTGCTTTCTCCTGAGAGGGAACAGCCTTGCCCCTCATTTCTTCACCTGTCGCAGACATTCTGGGCATTCTTGCAGGTCTGGCAGGTGTGGAGGGTGCTGGTTCTCTTGAACCATTCCCAGAATGCCTGCTTTGCCCACAGGGAGAGTGGGGGGCTCGCCTGGGCTCGGAAGAGTCTGGTGAGATGGTGTAGCAGGCTTTGACAGGCTGGGGAGAACTCCCTGCCAAGTGGCCCTAGGCCCCTCCCCCCCATGCCTCTCCTGCTCCCACCCCGCCCTGCTGCCTGCCTGGGGCTCTGAGGACACCCAGCCCCGCCTTTCAGCCCCGGTTACGGCTGGGCAGGCTGGCGCCTTTCATGTGCCGCCCTTGGTTTCCTGCCAGCTCCCTTAGTTAACTGCTCCTCCACACTGGGATTCACAGAGGTAGGGTTCCTCGAGGGACCCCCATTGCCATTGAACTTGGAAATGAAGGCAGAAGGTGCCTAAAACACACCCTTCCCCTCCCCCCGTCCCAATTAAGTCAGGTCTCTGACTTTCTTCCCAAATTCTGGCCTACCTTTTATAGCCCCCTAACCTTCAGGGTCAGACTTGTACAGGATTGCTGGGCAAAGAGCCTGCCCAGGGCCTTGCCCTCTGCCTGGGCCTAGGAGCCACTGTAAGCATGATGGCCTTTGGGTCCTGTACTCTCTATCATGGGGGTCTGGGCTGGCCATCCCAGTGAGGTCAAAGCAAGAAGAGGCCCCCAAGTGCCTGTGGCTCCAACCTGCGTGTGGCTCCAACCTGCATGTGTGTGCGTGTATGGAAGCTCTTTCCTGAGCCCGCTGCCTCCCTGCCCTGCTGAGGAGTGCGTCCTGTACCCTGCCCTCGTCACTGCATCTTTTCCTCTCCCCTTCCCCCTCGCTCTCTCTCTGTCTGTCTCTGTTTTTTTATTTTCCAGAAAATCAGTTCGAGGAAAGGGAAAGGGGCAAAAAAGAAAGCGCAAGAAATCCCGGTATAAATCCTGGAGCGCGTACGTGGTGCCGCTGCTGTCTCATTGCCTGGAGCCTCCCTGGCCCCCAAGCAAACTCCCGCCTGCAGGACCCCGTAACCCTGCCTCCCTGCCTCCCGCCCTCCCTGGCTCACCCTCCTCTCGGCCCCAGTGTCTCTCTCTCACTCTCACTCCACTAATTGGCACCATGGGTAGATTCGGTGGTGGTGTTGCTGGTCCAGGGCCGGGGTGGGCTGGTGGGTAGAGCGGGCCTGGAGGGTTCAGGGAGGGGCCTCTGGCTTGGCTGAGCACCTCCTTTCTCTCACCCACTGGGCACTGGTGGCAGGCCCATAGTGGTACGGGTGCCAGGCACTGGTGCCTGCTCTCTCAGCTGGTTTCCACTGCTCTAGGCTTCTGCACTTGTCTGGAAGCTAAGGGTGGTGGGCAGGGCAGATGTGGCGTGAGGAAGGGGCGTGAGTGACATTAGGCAGCCTGTTGTGGGCTGAAGGAGGAGGGTCAGGCACCACATGGCAACCCCTCTTCGTGGACTCGGGGGCCTCTGGAGGGGAGCCCCCTATCCCAGCCCAACCCATGGCAGCCATGGAAGCCTCTCTGTAGGGCAGCGGCTTCCTCTGGGTGGAGGCTGTGGTGGGCCCAGCCCTGGGCCCTTTTGCCACCACAGGCCTGGCCTGCGGACACTGCCTCTGGGCTTAGCCTGCTGCCACAGCCTACCTCAGCCTACCTTTGGTGGAGAGGCCTGGGCATGAGCCCGTACACAGGAAGGTGGCAGCCCCGATTGCCGTCCCTAGCAGGTAAAGAGTCAAGGCGTGCTCCTTCAGGGGCTGTAACTGTTGGGGCCCTGTGGCCCAAGACTTGTACTTGTCCCCAGGGGACAGCACCACCCCTATGGCAGCCCTCTCCTTGCACTCTCTGCCCATCTGCGTCTGCCTCTTCTACAGGCAGCCTTCCCAGCCAGTGCCGCCTCTTTCCGCCGCTCGCTCTCTCTTCCGCTGTAGCACTTGGACCCTTCCAGGGCGTGGCCGGGTGTGGGGGCACCCGGCTGGGTGGGGTGCAACCGCGGACATATCAGAGGGTGTTGCATGAGTTTTTTTTCTCTCTTCTCTGCTGACGCTCTAGCTTAGATGTCTTTCCTTTTGCCTTTTTGCAGTCCCTGTGGGCCTTGCTCAGAGCGGAGAAAGCATTTGTTTGTACAAGATCCACAGACGTGTAAATGTTCCTGCAAAAACACAGACTCGCGTTGCAAGGCGAGGCAGCTTGAGTTAAACGAACGTACTTGCAGGTTGGTTCCCAGAGGGCGAGCGAGTCAGAGAGGGGCTCCACACAGAGATGGGGAGAGAGAGAGAGAGATTGAGAGACAGAGTGCCTGGAGGGGCCAGCTGCTTGCTTGGCTTCTAGCTGCCTGCCTGGTGGCTGCTACCTTCTCTGCTCGCAAGGCCCCTGCGTGGGCAGTGGGCACTGGTCCCGCCTGGCAGGGCCTGTTCAGAGGTTGCCCTGGTTGCCTGAGTGGGTAGGCTGATGTGGCTTAATGTGGTGTGGACGCAAGCCGACTGTTGTGTCCTGTGGTCTTGCTTCATGGTGGCTATTGGTCCTGACATTGTTATTACTACCTCTACTACTAAAATGGAGGCTCTTCCCACCGTGGGAGGTGCTGCCATCTACAAAGTGCAAACACTTTGGGGGCCTTGCTGCTGCCCTCTGAAGTCTGGGCTTCTCCACTCAGTGTCTCTCCGTGGGGGCCAGGGTTGAATCTCTCCTCAGACTGGGGTCCCAGAGGGTTTGGGCTCTGGTTGTCAGTGTAGGGTGAGTGGGAGATTTAACATCTGGGGACCCTCCATACCTTTAATCTCCAGTAGTCACAGTGACAGCCTCAAACAGCCCATATATTTTCAAGTGTCCCCAGGAGGGGTGGGAGGGAGTGGGGTCCTCATGGCCCGGCCTGATTTTTATTCACCTGTGTGATACCCTGCCCCCCCCAGGCAACTATGCCTCTGTCCCTTGTCTACCATGGGGACCAAGGAAATGTCAAGTGCATGAGTGAATACATGACCCAGTTCAGAGGTGAGGTTAGGAGCACAGAGCCTCAACCATAGGCGGCTGGCAACATTGTGATGCTTGGACTGGCATTTATACCGGTCTGGCCTATGCTCAAAGTCAGGGAGCCATCTGGGTCAGTGTAAGCTCCTGGGTCAGGAGGGGCTTTCGTGGGGATTCCCTAGGCAGGGCCAGCACCCCTACCCTCAGCTGGTCCAGAAGGTCCATGAACAAATTTGGAGTATGGCTGCATCCTCCTGCCCCCCATGTTCCTGAGGCTGTGGGTGTTCAGGGGCAGTGGGGATCAGGCCCTAGGCAATTGGTGTGGAGTTCTGCCTGTCTTGGTGGTACGTGGAGACAGGAGTGTGTGCTAGTGCTGGGGGTGGGAGCTCTGCCTAACTTCAGGACTAGATGAGGTGGGGGGGGTCTCCATATCCCCCAGGGGCCTTTGGGAAGATAAAGGACTTGCTGTTTAGGGTTTCCGCGGTGATTATTCTGCAGAGAGACTGTTTAGGATGGGGGATGTCTGTAGTTACCTGGGAGCTAATGGAAGTTACCCCAACCTCCAGAGGCCTCCCTCAACCTCTAACCTGGCTGTATGGGGGAATGATTGTACCCCAAATTAGAGACTTGGGATTCCCACTCCCAGGCTCTCAGAAGGGAGGGCCTACTCTGATGCCTCTTCACAGTGGGAGGGTAAGAGACAATCGGCCTAGGGGTAGGGGCATGACAAGAAGATTCTTGGGGGTCCCACCTGCTAGCATGGCCCCTGATTGTCTCTCCCTCGCCCGGGGTCACATAGCACACCAGAAAGGAGCGGTGGCCTGGCACCCAGGCCTGCCACCTCCAGCAAGTTCGAGAGGAATGAGGCCTGGAAGGAGGGCATGGGGAAGAGGGACATATCCCTCACCTTCCTGGGAGCCCAGGTCCTACTGCCCCCTCTCCCTTGGGAGCCTCATTTCCAGGGGAGGCTCCTACCCTCAGCCGGCCTCTGCACAGGCCTTCCCCCTCTTAGGGTGCTCTTCCCACCAGCACCCCCATAGAGACTGAGCTGAAATGCATTCTGTAGGGACCCGTGCCTGATTAACCTGGACTAACTCTGGTAACCATCAGCTCTTAAATGTTCTTTAGTACGTGCTCATTTGTTGTTTGTGATGAAATGTCCCCATGTGCTTGTCTTGTCTGAACGAGACTGTGAGATCTAGAGGAAGGACTGGGAGCCCTGGGCATAGCTGCTGCTCAGACTGGGCGGAAGGCAGGGGCTCACCCCGCCCCTTCACACTGCGCCCCCTGGGGCGGGCCTTGCTTTTGCCTCCCTCCCTGCCTCTCCCTCCCTGCTGCCCGGCCTCCGGCTCCCGGGGAAGGGAGGCTGCCTGCCTCGCCGGGTCTCCTCATCTGGCCCTAACCCCCTGGCCTCTGTTTTCCCATTCTCGGTAGATGTGACAAGCCGAGGCGGTGAGCCAGGCTGGAGGAAGGAGCCTCCCTTGGGGTTTCGGGAACCAGACCTCTCACCAGGACAGATGATACAGAACGACTGAGACAGAAACCACCGCCGCCAACCGCCATCACCGTCAACAGAACAACCCTAATCCAGAAACCTGAAATGAAGGAAGAGGAGACTCTGCGCAGAGCACTTTGGGTCCGGAGGGCGAGACTCCGGCAGAGGCATTCCCGGGCTGGTGACCAAGCACGGTCCCTCTTGGAATTGGATCGCCATTTTATTTTTCTTGCTGCTAAATCACCGAGCCCGGAAGATTAGAGAGTTTTATTTCTGGGATTCCTGTAGACACACCCACCCACATGCATACATTTATATATATATATATAATATATATATATATAATATATATATATGTTTTATATATATATATAATATATATTCTTTTTTTTAAATTAACATTGCTAACGTTATTGGTGTCTTCACTGGATGTATTTGACTGCTGTGGACTTGAGTTGGGAGGAGAGTGTCCCCACCCAGATCCCCGTAGGGAAGAGGATGGGAGGAGAGATCCTGGCATGATCTTTTGGCCCTCTTAGGGCTGCCAGGGTCCCCTCCCCTGTCCAGGAATATGCATGGCCAGGGCACGGGGGCAAATTTGGCCTGCTTTTGGGAACACTGACAAACCCAGCCCTGGCCCTGAGCTTCTACCCCAAGTCAAATGGACAGAAAGATAGATGACAGGTACAGGGACAAGGATGCTTGCTCCGACCAGGAGTTTGGGGAGCCTCGGGACACTGCTGTGCTCTGGGGTCACCTCCACAGGCTGTATGGGCATCCTGCCCCACGGGCACTACCTGGAAGATTCAGGAGCCTGCGTAGCCTTCACCTTTTCTCAGCTGCTTCCAAGATGCCCAGAAGGCTGGTGACAGATGCGATGCCCCTGCGAAGAACAGAGAGACATTGGTGGAAGAAGGGCGGTCAGGTGACAGCTTCTCCTCCAAGGGAAGGGCCTCCGGCCTTGGCCTCTCCCAGCTCCCCTTCCCAGGTGCAGCCCAGGAGGGCCCCAAGTCCTCAGACTATTGAAACCACTAGTTCTGTCCCCCTAGGAGACCTGGCTCTGTGTGTGTGTGTGTGTGTGTGTGTGTGTGTGTGTGTGTGTGTGTGGTTAACCCTCCTCCTTTCCCACCCCGATCCTTCCCGCGGCACGGAGAGGCAGGGCAGGATCCATGTGCCCACCATGGAGGCAGAGAAAAGAGAAAGTGTTTTATATACGGTACTTATTTAATATCCCTTTTTAATTAGAAATTAAAACAGTTAATTTAATTAAAGAGTAGGGTTTTGTTCAGTATTCTTGGTTAATATTTAATTTCAACTATTTATGAGATGTATCTCTTGCTCTCTCGGCTCTTATTTGTACTGGTCTTTGTGTATGAAATCCATGTTCCCCATCTCTTTCTCCCTCACCGGTGACAGTCACTAGCTGGTCTTGAACAGATATTTAATTTTGCTAACACTCAGCTCTGCCCTCCCCTTTCCCCCGGCTCCCACCACACATTCCTTTGAAATAAGGTTTCAATATACATCTACATACTATATATATATTTGGCAACTTGTGTTTGTGTGTGTGTGTATATATATATATATATATATATATACATATATATATATGTTTATGTATATATGTGATTCTGATAAAATAGACATTGCTATTCTGTTTTTTATATGTAAAAACAAAACAAGAAAAAATAGAGAATTCTACATACTAAATCTCTCTCCTTTTTTAATTTTAATATTTGTTATCATTTATTTATTGGTGCTACTGTTTATCCGTAATAATTGTGGGGGGAAAAGATATTAACATCACATCTTTGTCTCTAGGGCAGTTTTTCGAGATATTCCGTAGTACATATTTATTTTTAAACAGCAACAAAGAAATACAGATATATCATTAAAAAAAAGCATTTTGTATTAAAGAATTTAATTCTGATCTCAAAGCTCCTCCTGGTTTCTCCTTCTCCATTGAATCCTTGTTCCAGATTTCCTCCTGCCCCCTTTCCCTCATCACTTGGGGAAAATGGAATTTGTTTTAGGTCTGGGAGAGGGTCCTTGGTATGTAGGATTTGGGGTGTCCCACCTTGTGCTGGGGGCCAGAATCCTTCCATTTTGCTGGGCCAGACCTGGGGGAACCCCTCCATCCTTGCCATGATATTGGGGGTGGGGTGCTCTGGAAATGGGGTAGAGACAGCTCCTTAGACAGGAGCCAAGGGCCCTGCAGTGAGTAGGGTTGCCTTCAGGAGTGACGTGATCCAGGCTCTGTCCCTTGGTTCACGAAGGAACTGGCCGTGTTTCTGAGCTTGCTGCCTAGGGGACAGGAGAGGGCTGGATTTGGCTATGGGGCCTTGTAGGCTACAATAGGCTGGGAGTGGGAAGGGAGTACTCATGGGAGCCTGTAACCCCAAGGTGTAATTAAGGTTTTCCTGGTCCTGGAATCCCTTGAGCCTCTGGAAGATAGACCCACAGCTCTGGTTGCCCCTGAGGGAACTCCCTGCCCTGACTTGCTGCACAGGCCCTTCTCTCCTGCAGTCCTGGGGAAGGTAGAAGCTGTCTGAGTCTTTGGCCTTAATGAGCAATGCTTTCAAATCCACTTCCTCTTGTCTCTCTTTATTCCTTCGAACCATATTTACTGTTATGAATAAGACAATTCCACCGCTCAAGTATCCAGCAAGGGTGGGTGGGTGAGGAGATACAGAATTTAGGAAAATATATAATATACGATGGAATCCCATCCAGCTTGGGGGTTGGGGATGTACTGGGGGTGGCAGAGTCTGGAGGTCTTCTTGTGACATTATGTATAACATGACATTACCTCTAGGCTGTCCTTTAAAGAATAGGTAGGAGAAGATAGAACAGGGAGTGGACTGGGGGGTGAAGGGGACACCCACGCAGAAAGGACGATGTGAGCAAAGGCATGGAGGGGGCGGTGAGCTCAGGCTGGGGGCGAGTGAGGGTGGAGGTGGAGAGAGGCAGGCTCAGCTGGTGGGGAGTCTGCAGCGCTTGTGCAAAGATCCTCTGAGCTGTCAGGGATGAGCAGCAGCTGTGAGGGTTTTAGCAGGAGCTTCCCAGCAACGTGGCCAGCAGGAAGCAGGGAAGCCAGCGGGGTGGGGGGGGGGGCGTTGCAATCCTCCAGGAGGAGGTGGGTGGTGGTGACTTTGGTGGTGACTGATTGGGGAGGGTGCCCTCTGCCTCTCCTGGCTACACTGTGAGGAAGACAGGAAGCAAGGTCCCTGTCCCCATAGAGCTTTTGGTCTAATAAATGCTCATTTTCCAAACCCTCTGCCTATCAGCTCTTCCACTGGGTAAAACTGAATCCACACAACAGCCTGTAAGGTTGGGGCTCTTGTCATGCCAAGTGGATATTTGCTGGACCCACAACACTGGACCTCCCTGTTCTCCTCCTCCCCCTCCCTCACTTTTGTTGATTCTCACACAACAGCCAGAGTGAGAGTGGTAAAATGTGGGCCAAATCCAATCACCTCGTGGCTCAAAACCCTGCAGAGACTGATTTACTCAGAAAATACCATGTCCATACCATGGCCTTAAAAGGCCTGTGCTATCTGGGCTGTCTCTACCTCAACTCAATGACCTCTGACCCTGTTGGTCACTCAGCTCTTGCCACATTGGCTTCTCTGTTCCTCAAACAGCAGGCATGCTCCCACCTCAGGGCCTTTGCACTGACTGTCTCCTCTTCCTGGAGCATTCTTCCCTAGACATGGCATATGTGGTTCTCTTACCTTCAGGTCTGGTTATCTTCTCAGTGGGGTCACCCTGAGCACTGACTTTATGATTGACACCCTTTTTTCATTCCCCTCTTAGAAGCTTCCTTTTCACCATACCTTCTTTTTTCCTCACAGCATGTGCCACCTTCTAGCATACTATAGACAGCGCTGCTCAGTACAATTCTAATGGGAGCCATGTATGTAATTTGAAATGTTCTAGGAGCCAGATTTAACAAGGTAGAAAGGAACAGGTGAAATTAATTTTAATAATATATTTTACTCAACCCCAGCATATCTATAAAAAAAAATCTCTCCAACATCTAATCAATATAAAAATTATTAATGAGAAATTTTACATTTCTTTTTGCACTAAATCTTGGAATCTGATGTGTATTTTGTTCTTATTGTACATCTCGATTGGGAGTAGCCATGAAGTGCTTGATAGGTGCATGTGGCTAGTGGCTATCATTTGGACAGCAGTGCCATAAATGTCCCCACTTTTGCCAGCCGCCCCCCCCCACCCCCACCCCCAGCTATCTCTTACGATGCAAGCAATGTGAGGGCAGAGATTTTTGTCAGTTTTGCTCATTGTTATACCTCCAGCTCTTAGAACGGTGCCTGGAACCTAGTACGTGCATGATTAACATTTGTCAAATGACCAACACTGAGAAGCGAGGCCTGGAGACTGAGGAGATGAGTTAGGGCAGGCACTGGCAGCGGTGGCTGGTGGAGGGGCTTGCTGGTAGGTGGGGACTTGAGCAGGGCGGGGCCGAGAAGGACGCTCAGAGTCAGTGGTAGGGATCAGGGACAGAGGCGTCTCTGCCAGTGGCAAGAACTCTCTTTTCCTGCTAGCTACCCGGGGATGGGGCTCATTATTTCTGCTTGGCAAATGAGAAGCAGGAGTCTCAGAGAGGGTAAATAGTTTGCCTGAATTTATGCACAGCCAGTAAATGGCCACGCCAGAATTTAAACCAGCTTTCCTGACTCCAATTCTAGTGCTCTTCCTACCACACCATGGCTGCCCTAGGCTAGGGCAGAACATCAACAAATAAAAATGAATCGTCTAGACTGAACACAAACAGCCAGAAGAAAAGTGGGACAGGGGGAGGATGTGGTGGTGGCCAAACCCAGGGCTGAAATCCAGATTTCCCCAAGTGTGGTAAGGCAAGGCGAGAGATGTCTCCGGGGGTTGGGGCTTGTCAGTGGAAGATCCGAAACCCAAGCACGAAAGAAATTGCAAAATGCAGCCTTAGAAGAGAGAAACAGTCTTTAAATAGACTAAAGAGAAAAGAAGAATAAAAGGAAAAGGCTGTAGCCCCAATTTATAAGACCTGCTCAGACACCCCCTGGAGCCTTCCCAAAGGACCTCTCAAGGCCCAGGGGAGACCCAGTCAAGGCCAGTGCCAGTCCTAGCTCATCTCCCCTCTGTGGGACTCACACCACCCGCTCTGGGCCAGCCACTGTTTTCCCTAGAGGTACACACTGCTCCTTCTCCACCCTGCTCTGCCCAGCCTGAGTCCCTTCCCCTTTTCTCTAAGGAGCAACCTAGCTGGGCCACAACCCAAAGTTCTTTAGAGTCCTTGTTTCTTGAAGGAGCCTACCAGCCTACTTTCCCCCTCCTGCAAGGAGGCTGGGTGGATGCATACAGACCTTGGTGATTCGGGATCAGTTTCATGTGTTACGACTATTGCGGCAGCCTGTGTACAAATATGGCTGCCACTGTACTTCCCATCCCCATGCCCCATGCCCCATGCCCCACTGCTCCCACATGCTGCTCTTCCCTCCCATCAGGAAGTGGAGTCTACTTTGCCTCCTTGATCTCGGTTGGCCTTATGACTTGCTTTGACCAAGAAAACGTGGCAGAAGAGATGTTCTGGGACTTTCAGGCCTAGGCCTTCAGGGTCATTGTGGTTTCCATTTCCCCGCCCTTGGTAGGCAGCTGCCATGCTGTAAGGAAGTCCAACTACCCTGCTGGAGAGAAAGGCCACCCAGAGAGAAAGAGCGATTCAGGAAAGAACAGCTGCAGCTCTTCCAACCACCCCAAGTGGAGGCACCAGAAATGGAGTGAGGCCATTCAGGACTCTTCAGCTTCAGGTGTGCCTTCATGTCAACAACACATGAAGCCAAGAGGAGCCATTGCCTACCCAAATGTACAGAGCTGTGAGCAAATACATGGGCTCTTTTTGTGTCAGACTATCAAGTTTTGGGGTGGTTGTTACCCAGCAATCATAACTGAACCACCCAACTGGCCACTTCCTTGGGGCTACAACCTTTGTCCATTCCCATCCCCAAGGCTTACTGGTATGCGTGATAGTCTCAGGGGGTGGAGCAAGGCTTGGGGGAGGAAAGACATAATTGTAAACGAGTCCAAGACCAGGAGGCTTTCCTGGTGGGAAGATTCAGGGTCAGGGCTGCCCAGTGCAGGGCAAAGCACTGCCCAGCTTCTAGAGTGAGGAGAGCAACTCAGGTCTGTGGAGGTGTCACCAGGAGAAAGTGGGCCCCACCTACAGCATGAGGGAGAGAGAGGCTAGAGGGTGAGAAGACCCGGCAGAGAGAGAAACAGAAGGGATTTGGAGGAAAAGCCTATAGAATCTTTTCCTCCTCTTCCTTCCTTTCTCCCTCTCCCCTGACCCCACCCTCCAGCATTAATGGAATACCAGCCGTATGTGCTGTGTCCTGGCTTAGAATGGTTTCTCATTTGCTGGGCATGGTAGCATATGCCAGCCTAAAGTTGGGAGATGGGCGAGATGACACCGGGGAGACCCACCAGGCTGGCCTCTGAGTTGCTGGGAGGGAGGCAGTTCAGCTGCATCCACAGGACATTAGCCTTCAGGATGTGGGGAGGTGGGGGGGCAGGGAAGGAATCAGTAAATATTTATGATCTGCCTGGAAAGGGAAAGTGCAAGGCAAAGACAGGGCCTGGAGGGGCATCTGCAGAGTCGGGGCCAGAGCAGGCAGAGAGGGAGAAGTCAGGGCCGGTGATCAGTGAGCCCGAGGGGAAGGACCCACAGGCA